GACACCCGCACCGGCACCACCCGCCGCCGCCGCGGCGGCCGCGGCCGCGGCGGCGGCGTCCCCCGCGGCTGCCGCAGCGCCCGGCAATCCTTATCAAGGCTACTCGCTCACCAACGTCGACATGTCGAGCTTCCAAGGCGTCGACTGGGGCTCCGTCTACGGGATGGGGATGTACGTTTAAGGGGGCATCGTCGACGACGAGTCGGCGACGACTCTTGGAGATCCGTGCATACGCATAGATAGATAGATATATATATATAGAAATATATATATATACACACACATGTACACACACGATACGACAGGGATGTCGAGGTCCGAGAATGTGATCGCGACGACGAAAGGGAAAGAGAAACAGAGAAAGAGCCAAGCATAGTCAGAGAGAGAAAGAGAGAGAACGTTGCGAGTTTTTTTCGATTTCACAGGGAAGAACTGCCGGTAGGGGGCAGTGGAAGAACTACGTGGTAAGCTCACACGAGGCAGACATCTCTTCGTTGATGTTTTCGAGTATCCTTTTACCCTGTATTCGTCTCGTCTCGTTACCAAGGAGCCACGTTACCACCAACGGCAACCGGATCCCCGATACATTTTCGTCATCGAGTGGGATCGTCGACGGGACGATGCGTGTGTCACGAGAGAAGAAGAAGAAGGAAGAGGAGGGAAAGAAGGGGAATGAGATAAAGATAGAAATAGGATGATTAGAGAAAAAGAGAGAAATAAAGAACGATCTTCGACATGCGAAGAGGAACGGCGGGAGCAGCGCGCGAAGAGAGGCCAGCGGCTCTAAGAAGAAGAAGAAGAAGAGGTCGTCGGTGTGATTGCATTCAGACGCGACACGTGTATCCGAGGGTCACCCTTGATGGACATATCGAGCGGACACGTATTTCTTGCGTTCGGATCCTCTATGTCATGCGTTACTTAATTTATATTCGCGGGCGCCACGCATGCCTAGACAAGGCAGACACATTGTTGTACACGTAACAGTTGTATACCATTGATGAATGTTCTCCACGAGTCCCGTCATCTTTCGCCTTCGCGGCGACTCGTGCCTTTGTTTTCCCTTTTTCTTCTTTTCTCTTGTTTTTTTTTTTCTTTCCATTTTTTCTTTGATTTAACAAATTTGTACCGTGTTTCAGCACATCCTTGGTTCCTACTTAGATTAACGCGTATAATAGTATCACGCATTAGAGTCGGAATAAATACATACACATACACACACGAAGAGAGAGAGAGAGAGAGAGAGAGAGAGAGAGAGAGAGAGAGAGAGAGATGCGCATGCTTCACCTCCAACGTTGCCGCGCCCAACGTTAATCACCGATTAATTAGCATAATCCATTAGCGGCGGCGCTCGTTTCGCGATATGTTGGCCGGCTGGCCACTTCTTCTCGTCGTTCCCGGCCATGGCCGCGTTTCCTCGGCCACGAAGCAATAAAAGTGGGAACGTCGCGGAAAAGGGCGTCGATGACACGGGAATGACACTTGGCCACGCGAAGCCCGAGAGCGCGCGTGCGCTCGATCATTTTCCCCCGCTTCCTTTCTTCTCACCCCCCTCGTTATAGGGTAAAAAGCAGCCGATTACTGATCCTCCTTAGTCATCAACACTCTGGAAAGGTCTGGTTTCTCTTGCGATCAGTCGCAAAGTTCCCATGACATTATGAGGCAAGTCGTTAAAGCCAACAAGTTTGCAATGCTGGGACCGCACGAGAAATCAGGTTTGTTCTAGAATTTTATGGAATGTTAGTGATGCGTTATGCTTTTCACACATTTTCAAGAATAATCAACTGGTTGGTTAACTTGCCTACGGCATATGACGAATAGTTTATTGTAGGAGATCCATTAATGACTAAGGGGATGATAATCGGTTAGCTTACTCCGCCTGTATTTTTTCTTCGTGGTATTCATTCTCCCCGAACACGATCGAGGTCGGTTCTTTATAGCTGCGCCGAGTCTTGCACTAAAAATGAAGAAGACGCGTTATACTTGACACTTGGTGAAAGAGAGAAGTAATTGGAGAACACCACAGTTCTAAAAATGCAGCTTTTCACACATTTTCAAGAATAATCAACTTGTTGGTTAATTTGCCTACGGCATATGACGAATAGTTTATTGTAGGAAGTCCATTAATGACTACGGGGATGATAATCGATTAGCTTACTCCGCCTGTATCTTTTTTTCGTGGTATTCATCCTCCCCGAACACGATCGAGATCGGTTTTTTCATAGCTGCGCTGAGTCTTGCGCTAAAGATGAAGAAGACGCGTTATACTTGACACTTGATGAAAGAGAGAAGTAATTGAAGAACACCAGAGTTCTGAAAATGCAGCTGTAGAGAACCACCCCGTATGGTGTGGCTCCCGGTAGAACGAGCGGAAGCGCCGCACGCGATGACAACGAGGAAAACCGCGAATCGCGACGCGAAAAGAGACCAACTGCACTGGGAAGACTCAGAACTCGGGTCAGCCGCGAGTCACCAAGTGCCAAACGAGATCGAAGGGAGATCACACGCTTCGAACAGCCAAATGTTTCATTTTCTGTTCCCCTAGTAACACACAAGCTCCAAGCTTCCCCTCCGACTCGCGTTTCTTCTGGATTCCGACAGTGACGATGATGACGACAACGACGACGACTCGACCACTCGACGACGTTATAAGATTAATTCTTGCGTGGCTCGCACTCTTCACACTTTCACACTTGGCGTATACTTGGCGTGCACTTGGAACTTTCGAAAGTAATGCCACGACAAGTAATGCCTGTAAAACACTGGTTGTTACTGGTATATACACTCGTAACACGAGAGCAGCGGCTACGATTCAGTTCCCAACAACTCAAGCGAATCAGTGCACGCTAATTCTAGTGAAAGCGCGAAAAGTGCGAGCAGCGCGGACACACACCGTTCGGTCCTCCTCGTCGCGTCGCGACCAGATGCTTCCGCTCGTCATTCTCTCGCGTCTCTCGCCTCTCCGGAGGCAACAGGTCAATCCACGCGTTACACTTCGACTCGTATGCGCGGCATCCGCGTGCGTTTAAGGCTCTCTCGATATTGCGAGCGTGTTCTGAGCGATATTGCGTGAGCGAACCACGGGACACGTATAACCATGATACGTACGTGACCGACGTATTGTATAATGCGTATAAGATATCAGAACGTATATAATATATGTAAACACACACATACGTGCGTATACATATAATATATGTAAACACACACTCTCCCACAACACAACACATACACATATATATATATACATATACATATATTTTTCTTCAAATAATCGAAGACAATATTTCTCCGCTCTCCATCGCGTTAAATAAGACTTCAGCGACCCGCTGCGTGGGCGCCAATACGCGGCCACGTCGTCGGGGCTGCGCGTAGCTGTTAAGGGATTCGCATTGTACGTAAGGAAACAATTACACGGCAGCATTAACCGCGCGATATTGCGCGCGCACTTAATGAGCAAAAACGAGCGATTTAATTTTATATTAGTGATTATTTGATAACGATTGTCTGATAATAATTTAACGAGCCCCTAAGAGAATAGACGAAAAGAGAGAAAGGAAGAAGGAAGGAAAGAAAGAAAGAAAGATGGATAGATGGTTCGGTCGTCTTACTTAAGCGAATGACATTATTAGCCGTACACACTCACACGAATATATATATATATATATATGCATACATATACAGCGGGGAGAGAGAGAGATGTATATATCGCGTAATATTGTGTACGATATGCGTGAAGAAAAAAATGCATATTTTAAATAATATTGCGCTATATATTATATACATACATATTTATAAGCGAATAACTTAACTATAAGCGAATGGTTACACATACACACATACGTTTGCATAGAAGGAGAAAACTACTTAAGGGGAAGAGATACTTAAGGAATACTTTAGAGAGAGTAAAATACTTACTAATGCATCATTACATATAAGTATACTTAAGGTTACTTTGTGACTGCGTCAAGACGGTAAACCCGTTTGTTTGAATTAGCTCAGCGAAACTCAAGAGATAGATACCTAGATTCTTAAGTTCTAAGATTATCTGCGTAGAGGGAACTTGTGAGACGGATGTTTCAATTTATACGTGGAGAAAGAGAGAACGCCCCGCCGACGATCGAATCGCT